ATGCTAGAGCCTTTAGAGGTTATACCTGTTCTGTGGACATGGGGCTTCATGAACAATAGCTTTAAGATATATGCTTTTTATGTATTTAAAATACATTGATTTGTTGAAAAAGTTCTAATATAATGGATGCTACTCTGACAACTGCCATAGAGACATGCCATTGAAAAGTCCAGTTCCAACATTGCAAAAACTCTTTTCTGTAGTGCCATTAACTCTGTACAAGTAGATGCCATAAAAACTGACCAGAACTTTCTTTAAGAATATATCTAAAAGTCTGGGGTGTTCCCCCGACATAGACATTTTTAGTTTTCAGGATGCAAATCAAATATTTCACATCCACATCCTATAGCCCAGGATTTTTGTGGATGTCCATTATCCATATTTAACTTATAAGAGAGGCTTTGGTAATAAGTGAAAAGCTAATATACAGTATGAAGTTAATCAAAGAGCAATAGATTATTGTAAATTATAAATCTTAGATAGGTTTACTCAGCAGAACTCCTTAAATATTTTTACTGTGCTGGAATTATATTTTTATACCTTCATATCTTGTACCCACTTCTCCATTTTTAGGCTTGCAGTCTCTTGAGCCCATTTCAACTCTAACTAGTGCACCCATTTAGAAACACAAAGGTCATGCAGAATTACTCTCCCCCCATAGGTCTGACTTACAGTCACTAAGCTAACATACAGGTAAGACAAACATATCAAACACCTGGAAAATTTATTTTTAAGGACTACTCGCATCTTTGTTACCATTTTTGCCGATAAGCTGTATAGATGTATAAATGCATTATTTTGGAAATTTACCACACATTTGTATAAATCCTGCTTTTGCTTGTGAAGCTGTTTGTTTAGAGCCCTCTTCGGGTTACAAGGGTATTAATGCATCAGATTTTGTCGTTATTAGCTAAGCCTTGGAGTTTATATAGTTTAGGAGAACTGAGGTAAGCAGCTCAACCCTGGGCAGTGCCAATTTGCTTAGAGACTGACAAAAAATGAATTAATGTTCTTATAATGTGTAGTTAAAAAATAAATCATGATATTCTCATTTATGAAAGTTAATAAAAATTGGTAAATGCATTTAAATTGGATAAAAACAAGTCCACATCAACTGTACAGTTTAGTAGAGCTAGTAGTAGAGTAGTAGAGTCTGTGGAGGGCAGTAATGATCAGGGCAATCAAAAAGAAGCCACTGACTTCAAAGAGAAGAAAAAAAATCCTTACAATTTTAATGGAAACTTGGAAATGGCTGAAATCTGACTTTTTTATGGCTACAGTGTAAAGCAGGGATTCATAACCTCTTTGACTCTGAAAAGCCCTTTCACTCTTGCCGTAAAACCCATTTAAATCCGGGAACAATCAGCTCTTAGTGGCAGTGGGAACTGACATGTCTATCCTGGTCAACTGACTCACCAAGCGACCCACGTTAAAATCGCCTTGGCTCTGATCAGCATGCCGGTTGAACACCAGACCTAAAATACGTGACACCACTGAATGCAACAGATGGAGGTCAACACACTGTGCCAGTAACTTCTGATCTAACAAGCCTAAACAACTCTTTTTACATTCGATAAACATAGCGCAGCAATGGTAGGAGGGAGTTAAACAGATGAAAAGCAAAGTAATAAAGAATACTGACTACATTCTGGCTCTTCTCCATGTTGCTCTCCATTGTTTACTTCCCTAATTTTCGTTGCACTGTCGACATCAACAACAAGGTTTTTTGGCCAATTAGTCATATGACTATAAACTACCAATACTGACCTACGAACTGGAAGAGACAGCCTTAAACAAACATATTATTAAAGTTTATTTTATATATTGTCCTCTTTAAATGTCAATAAATGCAAATTTGCTTGAAAGAAGGCAACAAAATATAGTTAAATTTTAGGCTCTCACATCACTGGTGAGATGTGGGATATATAGGAGAGGCTTGAGAGCACGCAGTTTGGTCCTTGAGGGAGCATTGGTGCCTACAGGCACCGTCATTGGGCCCCCCTGATGTAAAGTAAAACAGATTTTTCTTTGTCATAATGGATAAAGATGCATCGATGTATAACCTATCAACAGATGCCTGTTTCATTTCCAATAAGAATGAAACTGCTTGGTTGAACACAAATAATAGCAAATCTAAACTTGCTTGAGGTAAGAATAAATTTGTTGATATCTTATAAAAATGTGTTGTTATCTTAAGCAATAGAACAATTTAATCATCCTTTTTTAATGAAGCAAATCCCTACTAGGATGGATTTTATAACACCATGAAATACTGAAGGTTAACAAATGTAATTTTAATGAACATCCACAGGCACTTTTAAAGCAGGAGCAACTGGGTATTGGTTTTGGAATAAAATGCACTGTTTGACAGTTTTAAAAAGTTACGAAAAATAAAAAACAACCCAAGTTAATTTGATTTAGGATTTTTTAAAGCTTGTCTCCTTGTGTTTTGTAATTGGGTTAAAAAAGTTGGTGTAACGAAAGCTGGTTACCCCCTGGGGTAAGCCTTTTTGAAATTGACCTTGTTTCAAGTGATTTATATTTATTCATGTGTTGTTCTTTGAATGGCTGTTTTTTTGTAAGCGAATTCTAATTTTAAATTAGCCTTTTCAAGATTATACAATTTAAAAGGTCAGTCAGTGCTCTTAATGTTCTCAAGTTGAGCTAGTTTATGGTTAGTGTTTATGCTTCTACTTATTTTTCTCTATTCCACCGTAGACGGTAGTCATAATGATCAATTACAGTGGGAAAGAAAAAGGATGGAAAATTAAGAGGATGGAGAAAAGGCACCTTACTGTGAGAAGGGGAGAAAATTAAGACCATAGGTCTATAAGTTTGACTGGATCAGTAGCAATAATACACATCCTCTGCTCAGTTTCCATGCCATCAGCAGCTGCAGGTTAAATTGAAATGTTTGACTTCCAGTGAGCTTAAAATGTGTATATCCCAAAGTGCATGAACTATTTTTGTTAGAGCCCTGTTGTTGGATGTACAAATAAAAAGCCCACATGTAAAATGTAATCCCCTTTAAAATCTAATCCCCTCTTTTAGCTTATGTATTTATAAAAAAAACAACCTATTGTGATACATCACAAATCACTTGAATGTGTGTTATTATTTTTAAAAAGGCTGTAGATGTGTTGTTTGGTTGTGTTTGGCGCCACTTTTGCAATTTTAGGGTAACCAAACACCCTAAAGAAGCTCAAAAGTATTTCCTAGCATGTAATTGATCAGATTTGTTAATAACTAAAGCATGTTGATCTGATTATAATTAACTCTGATAAGGAGCCAGAACTTTAATGGAAAATTAGATCACCTTTCAAATCAATGTAGAAAAGGTCATTCTATGTTTGACTAGTGATGTTATGTCATTCCCTGTGTACAATGGGTCTCATGTCAATGATGGATTTGAATTTTTATTTTTATGTTTTTACATACTGACTAAAAGTCTTAGGTTGTCTTTTAAATAATTTAACTTCAGTGTATAATTAATCATTTGCTGGGAAAAATTAATTCCAAGATCCTTGCAAAACAGAGAAATTGGCATATTCGGGATACGCATTGATATGCAAGTCTCAAGTCTTTATCATCAAATCCCAGTTCAACTCTCAAGTAAACACAGGTAACTCATGTCAAGTCTGAAGTCAGAAACTTTAAAACTCAAGGCCTTTGAAGTCTTTTTTTTAATTATTAATAAGGCTAAATTATATGGTAAAGGTTAACAATTGAACATGTCATTTTTTTTTGGATTTGTATGTGTCTCAACAAGTAGTGAAACCAGTGCAGCTAATTTAGCTAATGAGGGGAAATTAGCTAAAGATGACTATCCCATCGTAACAAAACAATATTACCTGCTGTTCTCTCTCCCACTGTTGTTTTATCTTGAAAAACCCAAAATATCAAAGTATTTCATCAATTCTATTTCTGTATAAGTGTCTCCATTATTTTTATTTCTTATTCTATTGAGAAAACACATGTCATTCATTTCTAATACCATTCATAAGATATGATGCAGGATTATAAACATAAAAGCCTTTAAGGCAAAGCATCTTTATTAAACTTAACAGAATATTTAGTTGAATTCTCAGCAGCATGCTAAGCTTTTGTAGGATCTGGTTGCTTTCTGGGGCTCAACCAGTTGTGTTTTGGTGTTTTCACCTGTTTAATTTAACACTCAACCACAGAACTTGCTCAGTGAAGGTTGTTTTTAAGGAAGGATTAATAGGTAATATAAACAATGTCTTCTAAATTAGCCACGTGATTGTGAATTTAACTGGATCTTCCCCTGATGTGCCTTGACATGGGGAAATCAATCTTGCAAGGTAAGATATTTCTTAGCTCTTTTAAGAGATTTTGGCCACCCTCCAATGCAGGTGTTTTCCCAAGAAATTGCCAACTGCTCTAGGGAAACAGTTCATGTAAAAAAACATGCAGTCTGAGGTTACAGATTCCTACAGAAGAGAGATCAATAAGTGCAGATTACACAGTTCCAATGAATTTGCTTGTTTCAGGGACCTGAATTGACTCCTTGTAATCCAGTGGTGTTGTGGGGAAGCTGCTTAATTTAACTGCCTATAGATGGACTCCTTAATAACCCAGAGAGCACAGTAAGTGGTGTGTGTTTGTGTAGAGACAGTGAGGGGTGGTATAGGGAGGGCGGAAGCAGATGTGCGCGAGGTTCTGAGCTGTGGCACTATCACAGAGTACCTTTGTCTGGCTGTGGAGAGTGCTGAATTAAAGGCTGTTGGCCCTGGTCTGCACACTCATATGCTAATTCCTCTTTGCTGCAAATAAATAAATTATTGCCAAGAAAACACATCCCAGTCCCTGCTTTACATGCCTGATAGGATGCAAGAAAGATGCATAGTGTTAAAAGAAAGGGTGGAGGGTAGCACTAGAATGAGTGGGTGGCACTGTTCAGAAATAGCATGGTGGGAATTTCAAGGAAGCAAAGCAGAGGGCGATGTCATGCTTCCCCCCCACCCCCATCCTAAGTCTTCGCTTTTGCTGCTGCAGGTGATGCTGCAACACAGATAACAGGAGTTTGATCGGGAAAAACAGAGAGAGAGATGGATTTGGATTGGGAATAAAGAGAAGGAGGAGGGGGGATTTAAAGGGAAAGAAACAGAGGGAGATCCAGACAAGAGAGTGAGAGTGAGGGAAGAGAGCCAGCGCAAAGAGAACAGGCAGCGAATGGAAGGAGAGAAGAGGAGAGGCATTGACCGGAGGCATATGCATGGACAAGAAGAATCGGGTATTTCATGTGGTCAACGTGCAGCCCTGAAGGGAAGCGTGCTGCCATCTGAGTGGATTTTTCAAATTAGCCACTGCTCTGCTTTTAGAGGAGAAACGAAGAAACACAGACAGGCTCGCAGCAGAGAGCTGAGCGCAGAGGATGAACAGGAGATGTAGGCTGTGTGGCTCTGATCGCTGTGCTCAGACCTCATAGCCACTCTCAGTGGTTGTCGCAGGCCGTCAGCCTCACAGAGAGGGCAGTAGCAGTCAATACAGAATGAGCTCCAAGCACTCCTCCGACTGGATCCCCTACAGGTACTGTAGCATGTTCTTGAGAGCATGCAAAAGCATCATTGCATTCGTGTTCCGAAGAAGAGTTTGTGTGTATGTGTGTGACCGTCCAGATGTGAAAGAAAGGAATGACAAGAGAAAGATTGTGAGAAAATCAGAAACTGATGTAAATGACATTTATTATTCATTTTTTTGTTTTGTGGAAACAATGTTGGCTATATTTAATCATTTGCAAAGCAGAGAAAAACAGAATAATTTATATCAATCAGTATGAAGGGGACCAGAAAAAAAAGGCATGTGTTTGTTTTCTGTATTAACAGCTCTAATTAAACAGTTATTTTTTAGTCTATTTCAGTTGTAGATTTATGATATTTGGGCTATATGATTATTCTATTATTATTATTGTTATTTTTTATTTATTCTGTGTTTTAAGTTGAGTATTAAGTTCCTTTCATTTTGCATAAATGTCTTTTTTATGTGCAACCAGAGGTTTTACCAATGCAGAAAATGCCCTACTGTCATTTGTATATGATAATTAAATAATTTTTATTGGGAAATAGCAAAGAAATTGGAGCCATAACGAGATTTTAGCCTCCTGCTGTCAAAACTGTAACTGTTTTAATCATTTCGAGTGCAGTATGAATCTGCTGACTCTTTGCTCTAGTTGAGAAACTGTTATCATGGTTTCCCCTGTTTGCTTTGATGAAATTGGCTTATAATCTGTGTGACTTTATCATGAATTTACAATTTTCATAAACACCAGTCTGGAAATAAGCACTACAAAACGGCAGACAAAATTACAAAACCACACACAATTCTTTTCTCGAAAGCATAAATTAAAGAGGGAAGTGTTTGGTGCAAACCTGTAAACATTAACGGGGATTATGTTTCTTAGTCCTTAGTGAGTTTGAATTTGAACTGCTCAAAACAATCAAGGCCCTGTGTGCCCTGGTTTAGGACACAGCAGTCCTCTCACACAAATACAGAGCACATATATTCATGAATATCAACAAAAAGATGGGAGCTAATCTGAGAAGACACACAAAGAAGCATTCCTCATTGCACAGTTGTTCCTTTGCCATGAGCGAATTCACCATATTTGTGTTTTTAGTTATGAAGGGATGAATCTCTTATTTTGTGTTGAAAGATAAGCCCATGAGGCTTGAATAATTCTTATCTTTTGTTGGTTTTTGAGAAAAAAAAAAGCAGCAAGCTATAATCGTTTCTGATTCTCCTTCAAGGTCAAATTATATCTATGCAGTCCACATGTGATTCATTCTCCCCTTTGCACCATCAGATTTCATAGATGGCACCATGCAAATTAGAAATTAAGTCCACGTTTGAGTCATGCAGAGACACATAATGTGTGAAAACTGATGATAGAGATAGGAATGTTTGAAAGGTGTCTGTAAAGTCAAACTCCACTATTCTAATATAAATCCTAACAGAATCTAATAATTTTTTTGGTGTGGGCATAATGGAATTGTAAATGCTAGATGTTTAAATTGAGCTGACTTTCAACAAAATTCCCCTTCTAACATGTTGAGAGTTTAGATGGCTAGTATTGTGCACATGAGAAGATTTGGATTTAGGTACTTTGAATGTCTGACATTATCAATGTGTTAATTAACATACAGTGCAGCTGCATCACAGCACACAACAAAAGTTTCTTTAATGTTCTGTTAACAATTGCAAACTTCCTGGTTATTCTGCAGGCCTAGTTAGAAAAGGTGAAACTCTACCTCAATGCCATATCACATCCATATACCGTACTCAGTATGCCACTTTCTGTTAGATCAAATGCACCGTTACACTTTACGGATGCTGTAAAACCAGCTGATGTGCTGCAGGATACCAGTGACCAGAGACTCTTTTCAAAGTGAAGAGCTGTTTGACCTGTATCTTTGGAGCCATGTTTGTGCCATTATCTTCCTGTCTGATGCTTATTTTCACTCTTGAATGCTCTAATTGCAGAAATAGAGTGCTTTGTTTGTCAGCATGTTTCACAGAAAATGGGCAGTAAATATATCTTTATTGCGACTGCGTGGGCCTTTCTCATTTGCAGCATAGTGAATATTTACTGACCGATGCTTTACCTGAGAGATTAGAATGTATTTCTCATGCATTGACAAAGGAGTTAAATGTTTCAGAACTAAAATAAATAGACATTTTTATAAATGTTTATTTTTTTCTTATGCTGCTGACATTTATCTAAAATGGGTAGCATGAGAAGCTCATGATTGTTATGCAACCAGTTCATCAGCCTGGCAAAGCCATAAACCAGCTTGTAAAGAAAATTGATATTGTTTTTGTCTCTAGTACGATCTTGGGACTTAGTCCAAATGGGAGTATTACATTCTTTAACTTTGAATTTTTCTGTAGTACAGTAAATCAAATAAATGTCAGGAGCTTAGAATGTAGGACCCACAAGTCAAGCACACAGATCAGGGTGATTTCAGAACAAGCCTTTTATTAAAATATAAACCTGTGACTGCTCGTCAGCTGGGGCGGGTTCACTGGATACTCTGTAGAGACGGAAACTCAAGTCAGTGACTTCAGAACTCAGACAGGAAGCAATAATGAGCATGATTGTCACCAACCTGGTAAAGTTCAGTCTGAGCCCAGAAGAGGGAGTGAAGTCAGGATGAGTGGTTTCTCCATAGCTTGTGATGGAGCCGCTTCCAGTGTTCCAGGAGAGAAGTGGAGCAATGACAAGCAGAAGCCAGAGCACGCAGAGGAGCAGAAGGGAAAGCAGGAACAGGTTTCCAGGCCAGAATTTTAGAAGTCAGAAGAGGTACAGAGAAGAGGAACAATCTGTCTGTCTTGCCTTGAATACTGGGTCCTCTGTTCTTACCCTTGGGATGGACGGACGGATGGACGAATGGATGGATGGGTGGATGGATGGATAAGTGGATGGATGGATGGATGGATAAGTGGATGGATGTTGAAACTAAAGCATTCAATTTCAATCAATTTCCAGATTTCCCTTCTTAGAATCCCATTCGCTGCCATTAGAGCCTTTTTGTTTTATTTTCAAAAATGAAAACCCAAACTATAGACCAAAAAGTAGAAATTCATACTTTGAGTGACTTAGCATAAAAGGTTTACCTTGAAAACAATGCAAAGTTGTTTCCAATGTAAAGCATAAAATATAGTCCTACAAAGACATGAAATGTATTTTACAATATGCATGTATTTTTACACCGCAGGCATATCAACATGAAGGTAGAGGCTGAGTCCAACATGCTAAAGGTCAAGATAGAATATTGTGTACTTTGAAACCATCTAAGTAGCAACACATGATGAATATGAAAAAAACACTATGATCATTAAAAATCAACAAAAGAAAAGGATCAGTCTCATGATTATTTTAAGCTACATTTAGAAAATCTGTATTTTTCTGATGAAACCTAAATACATGTTAAACAGCATGTTGTAGTTGGTGGCATAAAAAAAACTGAACATAATTTCCCCCATTCATTACTCATCCAGGGACCCCTCCACCCAGCAGTCTTTCATCTTTTCTCCCTTGCTCGGGTTCTTTTCCTCTGAATCTTTTGCATAAATCTTTTTAATTAAAGCCACTGAGGTTTTTCTCAGAGGCCTCCGCACAATGCTCAGCCACAAGCACTGCAGGAACAATAAGTGAGTTTGTCGCTGGTGATTAAAAAAACTCTGAAGGGAAAACTCGATGCAAGAATGCAAAAAAAGTCTACAATCACCCGTTCTGCAAATATCATGTGTCTCGTTAATGATGTCTGCTGTTTTATTTGCCTAGAATGATATAAACTTGACAGCAGGATGAACACTATATGAATAATGAAGGTTTTTATTATTCATTGTCATGCAAAGTTTCCTTTGTAAGAGCTGTATAGTCTCCATAATAGAAAAACAATTTTAAACATTTCATAGTGACAAAGAAGAAGCACACAGCTTTAGAAATTAAGTGCTGTTTGTGTCTGCAGGGAGAATTTTAAACGCTAGACTGCCATCAGTCAGAGTCTAACTGTGTTTGTGGATTACAAATTGTCACAAATACATTCAAAATTAGATTTTAGTGGAGCTTGATCTGTTTTTTTTTTCAGCCTGATGAGTTTTACTCCATGTACCAGAAGCCCAGACAGGCACATGGACATGCTCTAACAGCAAAGCTACTTTGATGGACAGTTAAAATGAAAAGCTGCTGAAACAGGGTAAACTAACAGGCAGTAACAAAATGTCATAAAGTATTAGAGCTCCTCTAGTTCTACTCTCTCTGAGGTGGACTTCACTTCAAATGCTTAAAAATGTCTTACTTGTATTCTGCTCCCATTCTATGCACAGAGAACAAAAAATATAATTTTTTTAAAATCTTTTTTTTATGCGATTGCTCTTTAAACAGGCATGTCCCTTGCTCTTTGTTAAATCTGGGCTTTCAGAGCTCAGAATGTAAAGAGTTGAGGTTGAGAGCCAAGGATGAAGGGGTGATAAAAATATATTGTGGAAATTTGCTATTTGTATGGTTTATAATAAGGAAATAAATGTATATAACAGAAACCATATCTATAGTGGAGGCTTTGTCAACAGGGTGAGTGAAAAAAATAAAAAAAAACGTAATCCAAAAGAAAAAGTGAAAAAATTCATATGAACTGCAAATATTATTTGGTGTCCTTTGATATAAAATTGTCTTTATATTATAGACAGCACTATGTATGTTTTGACCCAAGTATTAGCTTAATTTGACTTATGTGAAGTTATTTTTCAGGTTATCGCATGTACCCGTTTCAGAAACCCACCATTGTAATTTAGAGGATTAAATCTAGGGCACAGTGATATGGCTTAAAAGTAAGATCTCCAATGTTTCCCTACCATTCTGATAAATCTTTTATTTCACTTACATTTAATAATTAAAATGACAAATTAGACATATTTGCTTTTAAAAAATAGCTTTTATTTCAACTACTTCCTCTGTCAGGTGAACCAAAGGCCAATGGCGTTTAAGATGTTAAACATGCTTGTAAAATAATAATGACTCACATCAAACAATAAAAATTGATTAACTAAATGTTTGCAGCTAGTGGTGTTACATAGAGTGCTAGGTAATCAGTTATAGTTACAGTACATATCTAAAAACAGAAAGTTTAATGAACTGACATCACTCTGAGATATAAAAGGCCAAGGAGCGGATTTGTGAAAAAAAAAAATCTTGATTTTCTAGAAATTAAATCTTCAAAAAAAAAAACAAACAAAAAAAAAAGAAAAATTTAATTAATCAATAAAAATCATTTAATCGCTCAACGGTAGTTGGATCCAACAATGAATGGGCCATGTGACCCAAAGCACAGTTAACCTTGAAAAATTTAGGTTTTGCTACAAAACAGATACGCTACTCACCTTATGATGAAGGATTAAATCTAAAGGGTTGAATGTGGCATTGTCATCACAACTAACTCCATAGGTTCTCTACTGGTCCAGAGCGGTTTGCTATCAGAGCCCAAAACACAGAGGAAGACTGTATAATTTAGATATTGCAGTGCTGCATGTGGCTATGAGGGCCTCTAAAACAGAAATTTACAGGTCTAGTGCCTCTAGTGGCTTAAAATTACACAGCGCTGCTTCAAAATATTACTGATATCTCACCTATGTTTTAGAAAGTTAGTCAGTCTGTTAATGTTGTCAGATTTTGTTTTTCTGTTCTTTGATTAGCATGTGAAATGTGTGACCTAAGAAAGTATAACAGGTGGCAAGTGTTGAGATTAAAACAAATTAATTTTCTTCTAGCTCAGATCAGATGTGCAGTCCACATAAGCTGCTGAAAGCTCAGCCATAGGCAATCTAGAACAGTTTAGAAATGCTTTTACACAATTATAATTGTTCTTCGGTATTATTCTTCATTATATTGAAACTCCTAATCATTTTCAGGCTTACAGGTCCGTAGGCTATTCCTAGGAATGTTTAGCACTTGTTTATGTTTCTTTCATTTGTAGATAATGGCTGTAATAGAGGTGTACTGCATTCCCAAAGCCATAAAAATAGTTGTATGACCTTTTCCATATTTAGGTGCTAATTATGTTTTTGTTATTTTTATTTTGTTTCTTTTGATGATGACATGATTTGAAGACATGTTCTAAGTAACGAACAACGATCATGCATAAAAATGAACTTAAGGGATGTATCAGTCAGTCTCATTTAAAAAATTTAAGTTAATACGTATTTACGTGGTCCAGAATATGGACTGAATATGATAGCCTATTGTTTTTTCTATTTGTTATATATATAAAAAATATTTAATGGTTTGAAACTTTTCAGATCAGTGAAATGAGAAAATATTTTTTTCACACCACTGTTCATGATATCCTTTTTTTCTAACATTTATTGTAACCTGGTTCTTCTTCTGTTCATTTCTCCAAAGCACTTTAGATGATGAGGGGACAACCCTCCGACAGCAGAAACTGGACAGACAGGTGAGCCTGAAATATTCATCCCATATCGCTGATAAAAATAGTCCTGCATGGAGAAAAAAACTGAATAATTCAGGAAAGATTCATCGTAAAAGAGGTGTCCCTGTGGAAAGGGTTTTTTACTAAACTGTTCCCTGATGAGATACTCTGTATTTCTGCAACACATAAACAAAACAACTCAATAGCTGGTCTTAAATAATGTTTTTATTAAAGCTATGATTCATACGATTCTTTTTAAATATTTACATCATAACATCAACATAGTACATTATAAGAAGATCACGAGTCAGAGAGTCCTTTCTTCTTATTTTTTTTGTTGGTATTGAGGCTTTCAATTCTCAGCTGTCAATTATGTTGAGACTGGCCAATAGAGAGAAGAAAAAAGTATATAGAGAAATCTTTTTTGAGACAAAATGGTTTCACTCTGGTTGCAAGAAAACAATATTTCCGACTAAAAATACATTTTTTTACGAGCTTCTTTCCCTTGGTACTTGTTTTCCTTATGTCAATTTATCATTTATTTATTCTATGAGAAAATCTTTTCTCTCAAATGTTCTTCAATCTCAAATGACATCAGTTTTTGCGATTAGTCTGAAAGTATGTTTTCTCTAATATATTTATTTTATTTTCAAAATCATTTTCCACTTTACAATCGATTTAACTCTTGAATTTACAAAAAAAATAAAAAAAAATTACTCCATACCCAAAAAGCTTGTTTTTTGAACATAGAGAATTGTTAAAGAGATAAATGTGATACCTGTAGGTGTCCAGAAACTGTACCCAGGGATAAAACAAACTGATGGAGGTACACTTCTCAGTATATTTTGGTTGATTTATTTTTAATTTCTTATGATTTAAACAGAGATTCATCTTCAAAATTTATTCACATGCTCCTCCATTTAACTCAAAGATGAATTTGGTATCAGAAACTTTAAGAAGAAAAAGTGGTAGTCTTATTATGTGCAAACTTTTTATTTTAAAGAAAGCAGTATGAATCTGTGTCTTATTATATCAGCATTTAGAGTAAATTTTGGCTAAAATACATCAGTAAAAGATAAGAGTGATTTAATGGCAGACAGTGTATGAAAATATATTTTTTACTTGTACAGATTCCACAGCTAAAAATTATTACATTCATACTGAACAATCCCTTTTGTATGTAGTCCAGGATGTGATTTAATATCTCCTTTTTCTTCATCTAACAGTGCAATCTAATGTATTCTCTAATGGGAAACTTTAATATTTAAAAAGCTCTGGTTGAATATAATTAGTCCTGATAAAAGCCACGAAAACCATTTAGCCTGATGTCATGTTGTTTCAGGCCATTTAACATTGCCTTTAAAGCATAATAGATTAGGAACAATTTAAATTAAGCAACTGAAATAGCTCACAACAGAAAACTGATAAGCTACAGTAATCCTGCTTGCCTACAGTTCAGAAGGTCCCTTACATGTCTCTCTAAAGCTCAGGTGCATGAAGGGATTTACTTTATGATACTGCTGAGGTTGCTGTGGAGATATATCAAGGACATTCCTACTTGGATTACATTTATTTTTTATAAGGATGCATGAAACAATAGACTAGATTTTGAATTTGCAGACAGCAGCTTAAAATTGTTATTTTCTAACTATTCAGTTCAACTCACTTAATTTATATAGCGCCAATTTCAACACATGTCCTCTGAGGGCAATTTACAGTTCAACAAATCAGTCAATGAGTCGATGCAGTCAGCTGGTAGAAAACTTTGAATCAATTTGACTGTATGATCTGGTGAACTGTAAAGTGCCTTGAGATAACATGTGTTGTGAATTGGAGCTATATAAATAAACTGAATTAAATTGAAACATAGAGTCAAATAGCCATACCAGAGATTTTTATTAACCTACATAGTTGCTGTCCAGTGTAGAGAAATTGTTGTAGGAAAACTTGCCTAAAGTGTACCTTCATTAAATGACTTTTGCCCTGGCATTTATTTTCCGCTGAAACCTCAGCGAGCCCTCCTTGAACAGAAACAGAAGAAGAAGAGGCAAGAGCCTCTGATGGTCCAGTCCAACGTAGACGGGAGGTCGCGAACGCGGCGGACCAAACAGAGTGAAGAACAGGCCCCGCTGGTTGAATCCTACCTCAGCAGCAATAGCAGCACTTTCTACCATGGTGAGAAAACTCCTACTGTATCACTTGCAAGCATCCTTTGATTTATAGAGGTTAAACAGAGAGGTTCAGTAACAGATTGATTCAGTGAAATATCTCAGATGCTTTTATGTATACATTCAGAACTTGTTTTAAACCACAGATGAAAGTCCTCTGAAGTAACTCACATTTCTAGTTTCTTTGAGTTTGTAAAAATGGGTGAACTGTTAAGAGTTGAGATGGGCTGCTGGTAGTGTTGGGGCATCTGCAGCTAGGCTCCGAGGCGTGTGCCGAGTGTCTAATGAAACCCTGATCGATGCTCCTCACATTACTGTTTTCATGTCACTGCTTCATTTCCCGTGTCAGATTTCAAAATACTGTAGCAAAACCTAAATACAAACTGATCTATCAACAGCGTGCTAAAAGGATTAGGTCTTTAAAACGTGCTAAATAGCGCATCTTATCCATTTAGTACTTTTTCTGCAATGAATATGCAATATGGGGCGTTTACACGCAAAAGTGCGTCTTGTGGGAGGAGAACATGTAAATATATTAATTTAGCACTCGCAAAGTGATTTATTAAACCTGAAAGCAAATTTGCTAACGGTATCTGACTCTATATTTAACACGTTTCAAAAGAAGGTGCAAATGGTCTGTATGCGTAATTGCGCACACATGGCAGCGGTTATTGTCGCAAGAAGGAGACATCGAAATGAAGCAAGGAGACGCAGAGAATGCATTTTTTCACTCCGTGTGAATATTTTTGGAATGAACGAGGAAACGATCATCAAAACATATCGTTTATCCAGTTTGGAGCTGTTGGGGGAACTCCGAATGGATTTGGAGCCAGCCACAAGGAGGACCCACGCAATACCAGATATCACTGTGATATCTGGTATTGCGTGGGTCCTCCACTGAACAGTGCAATGTTGCAAGGAGTTTTGTGACACAAAATTTTTTGCAACATTGCACTTTTTTGCATCTGGGTCATTCCAGCGTACGGTTGCAGCGAGAGCAGGGATCTCCCTATCTCGTTTTTCAGAAGTACTGTCTTTTTTTTTTTTTTTTTTTGGAGTGTCACTGTAAGATTTAAATTTCTTAATGCACTAGTTTGTACAAACTACATACTTTGCTGCAAACCGCAAAACGCGCAAAACCATCATTTAAATAGGGCTTCTCGAACAGTTTTGCACCTGCCACCAGTTACGCAATCACTCTTGTTAAATCACCCGCAAACCATGGTTCAGCCCCTCGCGCAAAATTCCAGTTTGCGAGCGCAAATTACTGCACGCAAAATTGGATCTTGATAAATCCGGCCCTAAGAGTATTAAAACAGAATAGTCTAAAAGAAGAATGGAGCCAGCAAAAAAAAAAAAAAAAAGAGGGGCCCCTCCCATACGGGATTACTTTGAAATTACTCTTCAAAACAAGGTTTAAAGAAGTGCGTTATAATTTCATCACTAGCACTTACTTTGTCTCATTTGACATATAAGGTTGTCTAGTTTTTCAGGTTTTTCACCATATATGTATGTCATGTAATGCTCTGAACTTTCATATCAATGTGTTTTGCACCATGTTTTTTCTCCCACACTATTTACATTTGATCACTGCTGCCCTTTATGAAATTGAAATGTAAATTTTATTGCTAAGCAGCTGCTTATTCACTTTCTGAAATCTGTACAAAACGAAATTTTTGTATACACTCTGTGTATACAAAATTATATCAAAATTTGTCTAAGTGTTGGTTGTGATGTTTTAGCTGGTCTACAGTAATGATACCGCAATGCTTCAGCATTACAGAACTGTACATGAGAAATTATACAATACAAACACACACCAGCCTGAGTATGAATTTTTATTTTCTAAATGTATTATTTATTATTATTTCCTAAAGTTTATTTATCTATCTCAATGAAATTGTCTTTATTTAAAAATGTATTGTTTAATCTGTCTAAATTAGAAACAGCCACACTGTGAAATAAGTCCTATTTTCTGTTAAAAATAACTAATACCCAAATACTCATCCACTAGAAATTTGAAATGTAGTTATTTGATCAGCATTGACTCAGTCTCACACAGGAGAAACAGAATGAATGCTGTTAAAAGAATGAATTTCTGTGGGTAGTGACTATAAGGGATCTCGAGGAGTCCCAGAAAAAGATAAATTAGAATTACCAGTAAAGTTTTCCAGGAAATAAATAATGAATCGATAGCATACAGTCCATCTTCTTTGCAAAAATCTGTCCATGACATAAACTAAAATAATTGCCACAAGAAAGTCAACATACTAGAAGGATTATTCTAGGTATAAATAATTTTAATAACTTACAAGTAATGAGGCATATGTAAAACAAAGCACTCATTACTGTTGTCTTATTTTTGAAATATGAGGCCTTTCATAGTGTTTGTGCTGCTCAATAGTGAGTAATGAATGAAGCATCAAGTAATGAACCTTTAGGCAAAGCATTGGGTTTGAAAGCTTCATTGCTTTATGAAGCTTAATTTGGCCATCACTTTATCTTTAATGATTTCTCAGGAGCCTTGATTCTATTAGGTAGGTTAACCATCATGCTAAGACAGCTACACTGCTCCACAGCCATGCCCACAGCAGAGATCCTCAGTCCTGTAAATTTCAGACCAAACACGACGTCTTTGGAGATTTCTGCGAGCACCGCAGGAAGTTTGCCACTCTGCATTTCAGATGCACAGTGTTTGCACCCTAGACTGCATCATCAAATTGAAGTAGCATAAGCCTACTGTACACCCCACCCATGTGATAAAACTCATCAAATAAACTGAATGGTTAGTGCTATCTTAGTGCAGGTTTGTGTAGTTAAAATGATCACAAAAAAAAGATCATGCATGTTACTGTTGTTTGTAAATTGTTTTCTATGCACAACTGATTAATGGGCTCAGGGAGACCATCAATTTTTGGAAAAGCAATTGAAGCGATAAAAAAGCAGATCACTGTAGTTCCTTCAGATCTGAGTCTGGATGAGTGTCGGATTCGGCGATAGGTTCTTGTAAATCTACCCATGCAGCACCAATGCTGGGGAGTGGGCAGTGACAGACCGGGATTGGTGCTGGAGATAAGGGAGGATGATGAATGGTCCTTCTATGGCTAAATAAAAAGATTTTTTTAAAAGCCAACTAAAATCTTCTTCTGTGCATTCCATATTAACATTATTTCCTCTATATCCGATTTCTAATGAAAAAAGCTTCGCTTTGGCTGCTCTTCTTTAACCTACTTCATGTGATTTAATAGAAAAGTTCAGGTCTTTTCAACCTCAGGGATCACAGCTCTACTCTCTCCATACAGTGCTGCTGTTTGACAACAACTCAGTTCTATGTAGTAGCAAAAGGTGGAATGAGTGGGACTCACTGCTGGTTGCTTCACCCTTTGATTGCTTCCCTTTTTGCATAGTTAGATTATGTAATCCACCATCCTTGCCGTGGACACCATGCTTGGTCTGAATGCACCTTTAAGGGGTTAGACTCCAACAAATATTATGAAAACAATAATGTGAAAAGAAACTAAATAATTACCTCAGGGTTATATATACTTATTTGAAATTAAATATTGTGTTCTAACTTAATTTAGAGAGATTTTTGGGGGAAAACCGAGGAAGGTCTGTATCTCTCAGACATGGTCCATGTGCAACAGCAGAAACATTTCATTTTGTGTAAAAGCCATAATAACTGATCTATGTATTTATTAACATCATTTTTGATCAGCCAGACTCAGACTTTGGAATTCCACAGGCTCTTTGTGCTAACGGCACTTTTGTATTGATGTAAATCTAAACACTTAGGAGTTGAAACTGTGTTAAGCTGAATGTTGATGAAGTCCTCTTATGATGCACAACCACCAGGTATATTTTCTACTATGTCTTAAAGCTATTAAGTCGTACTTTTTACTTAGAGCAAAGGAAGCATAATGGATTTTTTTCCTATATAGATCTAACTAAGAATTACAAATTTGCTGTTCAAGAAGTCAACAGTTGTAAGCTTTCCTACTTTCTTTTATAAACCCAAATTCTCAAAACCAACATTTTCCATTAAAAATACTGTTTTCATTCATTTTAAAATGTTATAAATAAAGTATAAATTTTCTTCACTTTGCTGAAAATGACTTTCCATATCTTTACTTCATTTGAATGTTCTGCAGTGCAAGATCCTGAACGGGAGGAGGTGAAGGTGACTTCAGAAGCTCAGCTGCCTCGCTCAGCCAAAAAGGGCAAAGCATCAGAAAGCTCCACTCCGCAGACAGGCAGCGAAAAGAAGGAGAGGAAAGGGAAACACAAAGGTTAGAATACCATTATTCAAATCAACAAGCAATCTACTATATAACATTATGGCCAATGCTTAAAAAAATTCTCATTACTGTAACAGTTTAAATTATGAAATGGAATCAACCAATTTATTATTATTTTTTTTTTTTTAGCTTTTTTTCTGTTTGCTATGCTGGGGTCATGTTTTAGAGGCTGAACACTCCAGAAGCTGAACATTCAAATCTAAAATCAGTGTCACCTTCTTCTATTTTGGTGTCTAAGCTCTGCAGCTGTAGAATCATCCCAACACACTCACACATCCACAACCAGAAAGACTTTTTTAAATGTCTTTGCGGTGCCTTTCCATTGACTTCCATAAATTTCTACTGCCTTACCATGGCCCTTACCCTGCACCTAACCATTACAGTATCCTACCTAACCCTAAACCCAACATAAACTCAATTTGCAGCTTAAACAAGAGGACACAAATACCCAACACACACAAGCAAACTGAGAGGCTGTGTTTTTTTTAATATTCGGATTAAGCTCTGTTTTGACATTAGACAACAAGCTATTAGAACAGAGGCCTTTTTGTTCACTAGGTTGTAAATCTGCTTATATCTTCCTCCACTGACCCTTTTATGTATAAAAGCTTAGAAAGACTTTTAATTATTCATTGTTATTGGGCTTTCTTTATAATTTACTGTTTACAGTTATTTATAATAAGTAGAAAAACACTTAACTCTGTAATATGTAGAATTTCCAAACTATGTATGGATGTAGTAAATATTTTTAACTTCAAAATGTAATAAAATGTCACTAAAATTGCATTTTTTTTAAAATTCACCACAAAATGTAAAATGCAACAAGATTTTGGGTCGGTCTTAGGCCGATGAAAACTTTTAACTGCCATCGTTTGGGGATAGTTTCTGCAAGATTGGAATAACCTGTATTGTGTTTTATGCAAAATTACACATTCCTGTTTAAAATGCAATGAGATTTAAAGTGAAGTGCAGATATTAGCCCCCCAAAACACACACTCTCATAGTCTAAGAAACATTTTTGTTAAATATGCAAGATTATGGGAATGTGCAGTTACTTGTGGAGACCACTGAACTGGTCCCCCGTTAGGAAAAGTTCTCTTATTGGGTTTGGGCTCCATGATGTGAAATCAGTTTAGGTTAGGGCTAGTTGGTCATGGTCATGATTAGGGTCTGGGTTAGGTCATACAAATGAATAGAAGTCAATGAGATGTCCCTATACAACATGGAAACTTCAGAAAGTACAAAAAGTACACACACGCTTTCATTTAGCTGTTACTAGTTCTACATTTTCCTTTTATCAGAGATTCTCTTGCTCTCTCTCTTTTTTAGGGTTGGTTATTGTTACTAATATACAATGTGCTTTATAAATAAACTTTTATTGATCAGTTGATTGAATCAAGCTTGATATGGTTAAAAAAAACAGCCAGTATTTATTGTTCATGCTTTATTTATGCATGCTCGGTGACAAAAGCTCACTGGCCAATTCTGGGGTTTTAAGAGGAGAATGGTGGCTTTTAAGGATAAAGTTGCTGTGATGAAAATTCTGCATTGTTTGAAATGTTATAAAAGACCCTTTCACTTCAGTAAATTGTGAAATTTTCCACTAACAGCTGGATAACATGGCTAATCAGAATGTCCTAAATTTATTATTCCAGTCTTAAAGGTTACGCTCTCCATGGTGCTGAAAAAGAGTTTGCTTACAGAGAGATTTAATAATTGAATTTTATTGATCTCACATTACCTTTGCATTTGACCCATCCCCTTGGGGAGCAGTGGGCTGCCATTGTGTGGTACCCGGGGAATTGTGTGGTTAAGGGTCTTGTTCAGGGACCCAGAGATCAGCATGAGGGAATCGAACCGGATATTTGCAACCTTCTCAGAGCACAAGCACACTGCACTAAGGCCACTAGGCCAACATTCCCCTATGCTCCTATTTGTCGACAGTAATTAGCCATAATAACCCAAACTTGTTTCGTTTAGCATTACCACAAACTAAGTGCTATGGACAATGGTCAACACAGATGTTGCCTCTTTGGGTGAATGTGTCAACTTGCCTCTTACTGGTTTAGATGTTTTCTGTTCTCTTTGTGGAAACAGTGTTGGTCTTGGATTGTAAGTAAGCGGACAACATGTTCTTGCCCCTATTAAATTGTACTAAATTGTTTTATCAAATTCCTTCTGTTATTCCTCCTCTGTTTATATAGCACATTGTTCTGATAGCCTGTGCATTTAATGTTATAAGGTTTGTCTATGTTCCTACAAGTAATTTAACACCATGACAGTAACACTTATAAGCAACTAAATGGTTGAAAGTTTTGCATTTATTAAAAAAACAGTATTTAAAGTCTAGAATCCATATCATGGCTGTTATTAAATGCACTTTGATGACAACAACAGACACAGAGAATGTGTATTGCAAAATGGGCCACATGTTTTATTCACATTCTCATTTTTAAAACAGAGCAATCACAGAATTTTGCAATAGTCAGTGCAAAATGTAATAGTCTGTAATGCAACAGAACCTATAGAATTTTTGCATGGATTTCATTTCATTTAGCAGTGCTTATTAAAAAATTTGTTTTTTTTTTATGTTTTATTGTATATTTTGGAAGTAGAATTTATTACATTGCTATAAAGTTTGCCAGTTTTACATACAAGCTAAAAGCATTAAATTTCTCAGCACAATTAACTTTAAACTCTCATAGATTAATGGCAATTATTTTCCCCCCTGAACATCTCAGTATCTGCTTCTAAAATAAATAGGATAGAAGACTAAATTGTATAGTTTTACATGCAAAGCAATAATATTGATTTATTTTTTTGAGCAGCATCCTGAAAAGCTTATTCTTTTTGCATGATGGTGTGGCAGCGATCAACAGCCCAGCTGCCCTGCAGGATGACAGTCAGATCCAGATCCTGACAGTGGGCCACTGTGCTGCAGAGGAGGGCGAGGCAGAGCCGGTTATGAGCTGCACTCAGTCACAGAGTAGGCAGGACCTGCGTGTCACCATGCTTAAGAAAGGTAAAACTTCTCATGTCTTTATATTTTTTTATTTACCCCTGCCACAGTCCAGGTCACATTTACACTTGACTAGTTACTATACCCTAATAAGTGAGTAAAACACTCTGACTGATCTTTAATCTATAATCCTTCAAAAACAGCTGAGCCCTTTTGAAACCCAGCAATACTGAGATTAGGATACTGTTGTAGAAAATACTCAATAGTTTATACTTTAGTCTTCCCTAATGTGTAAGATCTCTTATAGGCATGATTCATAGTTAGAATGAAAATGTTAAATAGGGTTCAGCAAGACTGTCGGTCAGTCTGTGAAGAAAATGCACAAATGTGGAATTTTAATTTAATTTATTTATTTTTTAATTTAAATGTTTAAATTGATGGGTTTCTTTTAATTCTTCCTGTTTTAATATATATATATATATATATTTATTTATTTATTTATTTTTTATTATTATTATTCCAAAGGTATTTCAAGCAGTATGAATTTTGATGAAGAAGAGGATGATGATGATGAAATCAGCTCAAGTTCTTCACAGCTCAACAGCAACACAAGACCAGGATCTGCCACCAGCAAGAAGTCATCCAAGGTAAAATGAATTTCATTTCTCGGATAAACGCTGTGTCATAAACCTGTTAATTATAAGTAGAGAGAATGAAATGTGCGCTATGTCTCTCTAACTTGGTAAGCCAAAAATAATAAAGTGTAACACTCAAGGTTAGTTCTGCGCATTATTAACCTGGGACTGCTTCGATCAAATCTGTTTAAAGGAAGCAGGGACATTTAGCAGAACCTCCTGAGCCTAAGCTCAGAAGGTTCATTAGGCGAATTTATGCCTAATGCTTGCCTACCAAAGCTGGATTTTAGCCAATTATGGTAACACATGAAATAGCAGCAGACTTCATAGCAAGCCACAACCATTTAAACTTTTGCACTCTTGCTGTTCCACTTTAAAAGATGAGAGCTCAGCAGCTCTTGTTTTAATCACAGCTATTTTTCCCATAACACTGCAACGTGATCAGGGGCGGTTCTAGAAAAATATTTATGGGGTGGCAAGAGGGGGGCAGGAATTTTTGAGTGGTGGCAACGTATGGCATTTGTTTACACTGAATTTAATCACAGTTTGGTGAGAATAGTATGTACAGTAAATGTTTCATGTGAAACAGTTCATATTAGTAATTCATTGTACAATGTGATCTCACTTAATAGGGGATAGAAGAATGATAACACTACTTCTAGAGGGGCATTATCACAGGAAAGGTATTGCACAAGAAGAAACTATAGAAAGAAAAAGTTACCCATCAGAGATCTATGGACTGAGCTGTACTAAAGTGAGCATAACTACATAGTAGAAATAAATGGGTCAAGGCATCCAAACAAGGTACCAGACATCCATGTATTGTTTACTCTGAACACACATTTACTCCATTTGTTCCTCAGTTACTTGACATACAGCAGTTAAGGCAACATGAAAGGGACATTTCATGCATGTAAATATGCTGTAGATAGAGCTGCTGTATCAAAAAATCAACAAAAGGCAGGTACTATATGTTACATCAACATCTTCACAAATCTGAAAAGAAGCAACATAAAAATAAATTTTGCTTCCAGTCTAAAAAAGTACAAAACATTTTGTGAGTAGGTTCATACGGGTCATTTCTGGATAGTTTCATACTATATATACAAAAAAAGAAACAACAACACTGCTTATCATAAAGTTAACATAACTATAACACCTGAATACGGCGATTTCCATGTTGCTCAGCAAAATGCTTCACAACTTTATTTAGATGCAATGCCTTTTTGCGTTTTGATTTGAGTACACCCAAACTTGATAGTCTTTTTTCTGTCATAGTTGACCACAAATATGTCTTTATGAGCCTGAAACGTCAGGCCTAACTAACATCATAGTTAAAGAAATAACGTTCTGCAACCTGATTTTTATCATCTCAAAATCAGCATTGCAGCTATGCTAGCAACATTGTGCTTTCATTATGATTT